CGGGAAAGGACAAGGGGACTGGGCACCGGGGACCCCGACCAGTGAGCGCCCGTGTCCCGGGGCCGCCCCTCGCGTGCGCTCTTCTCGCCGCGAGCCGGGACAGCTCTCCTGCCTCACCGGGTGCCGGCCGCAGCCATGAGCCAGGACGCGGACCCCAGCGGCTCCGAGCCACCGGACAGAGATGCCCGCAGCGTGCCCGGTGCCCCGGCGCCTCCAGCCCGGGCCCGCGAGGGATGCAGCCGCCGCCTCCGCCCCCCGCCGGCCTACCCCAGATCATCCAAAAGTAAGAGCAGCGAGCGGGGTGCGCTGGGGAACGCATCCCGGACGCCCCCTTCCGTGGCTTCCCCTCCCCAGTCCCTGCTCCACTTGGCCGGGCCGCCCGTGCGTTTGAAGTTCTCCTGCCCGTTTCCCTGCGGAGTCGGCGTCATTCTGGCTGTTCGTGAGGTTGGGGACACGGAAGCCTAGTTATTCAGGGAAAGTAACTTTGGTTTTCTTTATCCCCCTTTGCTCCTCTTCAGGGATGTCACTGGATATTTTGAACTAAAATAGCCCAAATTAGGGGGACATGGACCAGAGGCTCTATTTCATCTTTCTGGTCCCAAGAGGCCGCCGGAACGTATGGAGAGCCGCGCGTGAGCGTGTGCAAGTGACATGCCGCCACCAAGAAGGCGCTCTCGATGGTGCCTCTGAAGGCGACCAGCGGCCCTGGGTGCAAAGGGCGGCGAGGGTTTGTAAACAACACGTTTTGCTTTGCCCCGCAAGACGTGTTTACACTTTGCAAGAAGGCCCTTGCGAGCAGTTCTCAGTGGCGCAACCGTTTTCCATTAAAGTTAGCATCTCGCGATTCCGGCCCGTGCGCCCCGGGTGGTCCCTCTTCAGCGGCCTTCCCCGCGCGCGAGCAGGTTAGGGTGGTCCACAGGCCGCAGACACCCTTTCTGCCCACGCGGGGACATAAAAGCCCCGCGGGGACGTTGTGTTACTTCTTTTGAGGCTTTATTCCACAGTGTGAGGCCTAGAAGGTTGGTTTGTTGGAAGGATATCTGTTCTCCTGGGGGTTTCAAACCCTCAGCTTCTAGCGAAGTCCTCCAAGCTAGTGTCAGAAGTAGAGCGAAACCTGAATGATGCGAGCTTGGGCGACATTGTCGAAACTGGAGATGTACACACAAGCACAGCAAAGCCAACCTTCTGCAACAGAGCAGGCGTCTTTTCCAGCGCTGCTGCATGGATGCTTTGAGTTACATAAACTTTCTTAAATGTAGGAAGAGAAATAACCAGTGATGGGATGTAAATGGAAGTAAGTGGTACTTAACTGTGGTGGTTAAGGCTGATTTATGTAATAGAAAGGATAGTGAAAATTCAAGTTTGACGTCTAAAAACGCTGGTATATTTCAGAACAAAATGGTTCCCGTTATTTTGACTAGCAGAACACAAAGCTCCATTTAGGACACTTTTTACTTTAACTTTTATATAACTCAGCAGCTAGCAACTTTCCAACTACATAAAAAATGAAAATGTTTTATATTGTCATTCTCTTCCTATTGTTTTGCAGATTGTTTCAGTAAGACTAAATATGATTGACAGCTTATGTACATCATTATTTAAATTTTCTCTTTAGTCTTTACTATAATTATAAACCAATAGAGGAAAACATGTTTAAAACTTAAAGTTCACTTACTAAAAAAAAAAAAGATACTTAATTGACCAATTATTAATTCGAAAACATCTAATGTGCTTCTTGCCGGGCTAATATTTTGTGGCTTAAGATTAGGCTGCACATTAAATTTATTGAATTTGCTTTAGTGTTGTAATCACCCTGAACTTTTCTACCGTTTACATTTAATTAGAAAAAAACACACAAAACAAAACTAGGAGTTTTATGCTCACAGAAAAGTCTTCGTAGATGGGTGTCTGATGATGAAATGTTCCCAGGTTGAAAATATATGCCATTTTGTCAAAAATGGATCGTTTAACGTGTATTTCAGTGACTGCGTATGCTAAATAATTTACCCTGTAAATTCATCTCCATTTTGGAAATTCTGTATCTGGAATATCTTACTTTGAAAAGATGAACGTGGGCTTTTCAAAGATGGCCTCTCCTGCCAGAAGTGGAGGATGGAGACCTCAAGCAGCGCCTGACAGCTCGCCTGGTTTGACAGATCAGGGCAGGAGCCAGGACCAGGCCAGGGAGTGTGCCCGTGGGATTTGATATTTGTGCGCTTCTCTTTCAAGGTCTTTCTATATAAGGATGATTTGGGGTTTGCGCTCCCCTCGGTACCCACAGAGATTCCGCTGGGACCAGGCGTAACGTGGCAAATGCTTTGCAGGTCCACCTTGAGTGCGCTGAAACTTGAGCGTGTTATTTTGAAACTACGTTTGCATAATTTAATCTGAGCAACCATTTTTCTGTAGTTATGAGGCGCTGTTTGCACCAGCCATCTTTGAGAAAATGTAGTGGGGAGGTTGCCCTCAGCCAAGCAAGGAGCTGTTGGCCTCTTGATTCGGAATTTTGTGAACTAGAGCTTTGGATGCACTTCTCCAGTGGATCAAATATGAAATAAGTTTTGTTGTGGGACCCGTATTTTTTTCTAGTTATGTTAGTGAGGTTGTTATGTAATTTATAAGAGGGGAAGCTAGGACCTCTTTCACAGTGATGAAAATATCAGTCTTCATATCGCACAGCGTTTAAGGATTACAAGAAATGTTTCACTTCAAAATGTCTCGGTACGTCCTATTGTCCAGGTTTACCTATTTTCAGTAATAACGGCTTTCATTTGGGGTAAAGTCAATGACCTGGTGAAATAATCATCATGCTCATAATAAAAATTGGTTCCCATTCACAAACATTGTATTTGGCCTTAAGAGAACTGTGGTATATTACCTTTATGTCGATAAACACATGCGGTAGCACGATGAATAATGATATTGTGCACTTAACTTTCAAGGTTTTTCTATACAAAGGTGATTTGGGGTTTATGACTAATAATAATGAGACTGGTTTTGGTGTTTGTTTTATGAAAGCCAGTCTCAGTACTTAGGACGATTGCATTGAAAGTTAATTTCTGTGGAGTACTTTTGTTCTACTCGGGGACATTTAGTTTTCTTATTATTGCATTCTTGGTTTTCATCAAGAATAGTCCATGATCTTTCTGCTCTTGTTAACCCCAGACTCCTGGCCAATATTGGCATTACCGATAAAGACTGTCAGCGATGTTCAGATTCGCATAGCTCATATCTTGTGGGGTCTTTGTTTTAAATGTGCATTCTCTAAGTTGGCCACTGTGGAGATATTATTGCACAAAATGTAAAGCATTATGTCAGCCACTTGGGCAACAGGAAATATAAATAATACTTCGAGAGGAGATTTGGGATGAGTTTAGAAAATCAGAATAATTTGAGGGCTTACAATATATTCTCCGTATTAGCAGAAAGTAAGATAACATGGAGCCGTGTGTTTCGGTGAATGCTTTTTAAGGATTTATCTTCGTAAGCATTCACATTTTCAAAAGTATTTTACATTTTAATTTTGTGCTTTGAAATCAAACCTAGTTCTGGTTTATAAGAAGTTATTTATTAACCTTGATGAACATCAGAAAGTGGAACCTTAGGTTATACATTTTAAAAATCTCTCCACAATGAAAGCAGGGCTATTCAATTCTGCGTGAAATGTTGACGACAATTGTCAAATGCAACTACTAAACGTACCACTAACTCATGGTGAAAATTAACCAAACAAGCACACACACCTTCCATGAGGTGACCACATAGGTGATTTTTCTGAAATTATTTGATTTGCAGCAAAATATTTCTGGCTAATGTGTGACATCAGGTTGCATATTTAGTTTGAGTGTAGACGACTTACTTTTTCCCTTTCCAGATTATTTCGATAAGCAATGAATAAAAATGAATTATAAAAATTGAAAAAGTTTTGGGTTAGCATTTGCTAGCTCTTGTCACCGGCCTGTGTTTGTGACTTATGGAGATATAAATCCAGCTTTAATTTCTCAAGTTTATGGTCTTCCGCATGGCGTTAGTTACACTGGCCGACTGTGTTTTGCTGACTGTGTTTTCAGAGCAAAGTGCTCTCCTCGATTCAGAATAGAAAATATTACAAGTAGTCACTGATTGCAGAGAATTTTTGCAGACATTCCACATTTGGAAAGATCTCCACGTATCTCTTATGGAGCGATATGCAGGCGAGTTGTGTGTGATGTCCACCCACTTTGATGGACATGCTGACAATTACATCCAGAATTAGGGAGGAAATAAGAATTTGCCAAAAGGGATATTACCTCACTCATACTCAGTCCGTTTCTGGAAAAAGGATGGAATTTCTAACATCTGTGCCAGTTTCTAACATCAGTTTGAGTCCGTTTTTAGGGGAAACAGGGATACAATTGTGGAAGGAATTTTGACAATTTTAAATACCATCTTAAACTGCACGTAAGACAAGCATTCAGCAGGAGAAAACATCTGAAAGGATTAAGCGGTTCCCCAAAACAGCGAAGGAGAGAGGGTGGGTTTTTAGCATTCTGCAAACTTTCTTTGCTTCTCTAGAAAGTCTTTTAAGGGTTTTTTTTTTTTAAAGGAAATTGTGCTTGAGGGTTTGTTGTGCTAAGTATTTTTAGATAGTAAGTGTAGCCATCCAGTTATGAGTTTTTCTGACATGTCCAAAGAGATCAGTATTATGAAATGTAGTACATTATTCCCATTCGTCATGGTAAATGACTATACATATGGTGTACACAGGGCTGGTCCAATGCCAGAGCTATAGGGAAAGAAAAGAAGAAAAACTTGATCACCCATTTTATTCTTTTATCACTTACTCTTTTGCTCCCTCCTGAGCAATTTATCAAATTCATAATTTTAAAAGCCCAGTTGGAATGTGAACTCTGATCGGTTAGGATCTCTTTGTCTTTCCTTAGAGTTACCAGGGGGGAAAGAAACCCCACCAGGATCGACTCACAGTGAAATGATCCCACATTATCCAGTTTCTTTCTTCCTCTGTCTCTCTCTCTCTCTGATTTCTTTTTCTTGCGGCTGTAGGTTTTTGATTCCAGTTAAACTAATATTTCTTCTCTGCCCACAACAGCTAATCCTCCAGGGGACAAACTAATGTAGTGCCATCCACAGCTTTGATAAACAAGAATCCACACAGTGTTGGGAACCGGGGTCTAATCAAGGGATAGAATGAAATGGACTGAACTGAACATGGAAAGTAAGACTGGAAGAAGCAGCTTGAGATAGCGGAGTTAAAACTCCAATGACAAATTCAGAATCAGGGCT